TTGTTTTATCCTTTTTTTTTTTTTTCCAAAATACATTTTTCTCTCTTCTTTTCAACCACACATTTTTCGATAAAATAATATTACAAGCAATTCAAAACTTTTCCTTCACTTTAACCAATATATTTTCCATCAATCTACTATTACAAAATGCATTATATTCTAAAAATGGAGTTTAATGAGGCCCATAATATAATTCTATCATTGCAATATTTCAAAACAAAATAAGTAAAAAGAAAATTATATACAAGTCAGTTTTATATTCTATATAGATTACTTTGAATAAATAAAATTGCAACTAATCACATAAATTTTCAATTTTTTTTCGCAGGGATATTTTAGGTATATCGAACGCATTTTAAATGATATATGGCTCAAAAACTTGTGAGGAGGCATATATGGTACTAAAATATATAACAATGGAGGTTGGTGATATTTTTGAAAAATATGAGGATATCTTGAACTATGATACAGTTACAACCTTATTTGACATTATTTTTTTTTAACAGCCCCCTCACTGGGGGTGGGGCCCTACTCCCATTTGAGGAGGCTGTCAAAAAGACTGTAAAATAAAGTTGTACATTCAACTTTATTGGGACATCTATGATGTTGTCAGAAGATGATGAGATTGTCTTTGATATTGTCTCTAAAATTCATTGCATTGATAAGTCCTCAAAGTCACGTTTGCATCCGTCTTGGAGGCATCAATGGGTTGCACCAAGACGCATCTTGAGAGAAAACAACTAATTAGGCTAAAGTCTTGCCCACGACGAGGCTGGCAGAAAGTTGTGCGGGAGATAGCAATGAGTTGGCCACCAAGGCTAGGCTCATTGGCCAAGAGACTTGCCTCGGCCTATGGGCCTTGCCAGTGATGAGTCAGTGAGCTTTTTTAATACATAAAGTGTGCAACTAGTTTAATCCAATTTAATTTGTTAAATTGAATTGGACAATCGATAGATTTGTGACATCTGGCCTTATTAATTACTATGAAAGAAAAGAAAAAGGTGAAAAGGAAAGGGAGGCACTTTAAAAATGGCAATGGAATAATTGGATACTACTATTATCAAGTCGAAAACATCAACGAGAACGGGAAAATTTCAAACGTGATTCGCCAAAGATGTCCACTTTTAAGTAGTCATTTGAAAAATGTCCAAAATTTCTTCAATTTCCATTTCACTATAATATAGATCAACTCCTTTAAAATTAGCTAGTATTAATGTAGCTTCTCATGGAATAAAAGCAAAAATTAACATTTTTGTTAATATCAAGTTTGACACCCTTGTGAAGTGATAATTTTTTACACATTAATTTTAATAACATTTTAAAAAATCAATGACAAATTTTGATGAAAAATGCTATGTGTACACAATGACACACGACTTTACATCTCTTTCACATGGAGGAGGGCCCACGAATATTTTATTGTGTATGAGCCCCCTCCATGTGAGGAGGGTGTAAAGCTGTGTGTACATCATTGTATACACGTAGCATCTCTCTATTTTGATACATACTGCTAGTTTAATCTAATTTAATTTGTCAAAATGAATTAGACAATCGATAGATTTGTGACATCTGGCCTTATTAATTACTATAAAAGAAAAGAAAAAGGTGAGAAGGAAAAAGAGACACTTTAAAAAAGTTGTTCTGCATATACTTGGGGTTGGCCCATGATCCAAACGACCGCAACCAGTCAATCATGCTATTCTTACCTTTCAACCGACACCTTCGAATCCGCTTTTGCAACAGTATATAATCTTTGTCCCTTACCTTCAGAATCCCCATCGACAATTCACATAGACGGTAGATTTTTTATTTTTATTATTGAGGTGGCACCTCTATGTGAGTTGTCGGTACCCCCACCCCGTGTATGCAGATCAACTCCTTTAAAACGGCAATGGAATAATTGGATACTACTATTATCAAGTCAAAAATATCAGCTAGAATGGTAAATTTCAAATTAACCTTATATAATTCATAGTAAAATCAAAGTTATTTAAAAAATTAAAGAATTCAGGCTACTATTTTGAAATAATTCTCTTTTTATTTTGGAAAATATAGAAAATGATATTGACCAAAAAATGACGATGGTGAATATATTTTATTTTATTTTTAAAGGAGTGGAATTGATCACATTTGTTGTCATCTTCATGTCATATTTATGCCTAACATATCTCCACTAATTCTTTGTTCATTCCAAAAATATTTTCAAGTCACATCAATTTTTGCTATTTTTTTCACATTTTATATACCAAACATGCATGGTTTCATCATCGTCTTACAATTTTTTTTTTTTTTCTAATCAAGAGTCCCATTTTCTAGAGAATAAATTTCGTAATAATTATTTTTTTACAGAATATTTGGTTAAAAAGTGTTGAAAATTTTTGAATTTACGTGAACAAATATTTTATTGAAATAATATGGAGTCGAAATTCAAAAATGAGTTTGAGGAAAAATATATTTCTAGAGAACGAGGCTCAAACAGGGACTTTATAGTATCCATGGCGCGAAGGTTAATAAAAAATTTACAAATTAAAATAATATAACTTGAAATAAACTGATGAAATTGACCATAAAATTTAAAACTAAGAGTCTGTTGACAAACCCAAAATAGCAGTTCTGTTATCCTTATTTTACTATCCTCCCAATATACTTATAACATATTGACGCATTATTTCTGTTATCCTTATTTTACTATCCTCGTGGCTCGCCTAATTACGAGCCCACGAGCAGCTCGTATGGATTCGAGCCAACCTGCTCAGCTGGGGTCCACACGAGCCGTCTTTTCATAAGTCGAGCGACCGATTCGACGAACCACTCGTCTTGTTTGCCACCTCTAGATAGGTAGCTTCATTCATTGAATCTAGAATAGATACAAGTAACTTTTGATGATGAGATAAATCAAAGATCATAAATATCTTTTCTCTATTTTTTTTATATAGCAAAAAGACAATTTTTAATTAAATATAAATATAAAATCTCATTTGAACGTAACAGCATAATTTTATGATTTCGTCAACAAATGTAATTCAATCGTGCTACATTAACATCTTTATTGATATCAAGTTTAACACCCTTGTTAGGTGACAACTTTTTACACATTAATTTTAATATCTTGAAAATTTGATGACACGGATTTTGATACATAAAGTGTACGAGTAGTTTAATCCAATTTTATTTGTTAAATTGAATTAGACAATCGATAGATTTGTGACATCTGGCCTTATGAATTACTATGAAAGAAAAGAAAAAAGTAAAAAGGAATGGGAGGCGCTTTAAAATGGCAATGGAATAATTGTATGCAACTATTATCAAGTCAAAAATATCAAGAGGAAATTACACTCAGTCCTGATTTTAAATTACCATTTTCATAAATCCTATAACAAGTTTAACTTTTCAAAAATCAGGTTATGATTAAAATATTTAATATTAATAATTAAATTACTAATTCCAATTAATCAGTTTTCATTTCTCCCTCTCTCTGTACCCTTTCTCTCTCTCTCTCTCTACCTCACCCGATTTCTCTACTCTCTGGCTCCGGCTCCTCTCCTTTCCCTCGCCGCCGACACTGGCGCTCAAAGCAGCGACGACCATAGATCGTGGCTACGGCGGCGTTGGTGAGTTTTTTTTGTTGTTCGATTTATTTTTCACTTTCCCCCAAACCCTCGCTCTCGTCGCCGTCTCGACAATTGGTTGAGTCTTTTT